CCTGCCCGATCTTGTCGCACCCTTGGCTCGCTCTTGAGAAGACGGTGTATCCACGGAACGTTCTGGAGTCAACGTCCTCTGTGTTGTTATGATTGTAATTGGCTGATGTCCCGCTTGTGTTTTTCGTTTCGGTCGGGCTACCGCTATCCGTGTTTTTTGAAATAATATATGCGGGTTTTAGACGTATCTATTGTAATGTAAAAAATTTTATATTCTTTCCGTTAATTTGCACGACAAAAAATTTGTCGATCCGGTTGACCACTGAGTACGGGCCGTCATAGGGTGCAACATTGCCTTGAGTTCATCGTGCCACACGAATACTTTATCCGTAGTAGCTAGATCTTTAAATTCGAACGACCTCCGTTTGCCATGATGCGTGTCCTGAATCAGGCGCAAGTTGCCGAAATGACGACGCGACTCCCTGACGAAATCGGCGGCCTCGTCCGAATCTTCTGACGTCCATTATCTCAGGAATTGTCCGAGCAGTCTTAGCGTCTCTTCGTAAATGAGTTCGGCCGTCGCGCGACATTTTCGCTATCAGACACATGTCGGATGTCTGTCTTGTTCCGTCAAACGGTATTCAAGTTAAGAGAGTTTTGCCTCTTGCGTTGTCATGAAGAAGGTTATTTAACGGCGCCAGTGTCTCAGCGGTCCCTGGCAAAAATCTTCTATAGAAATTTAACATGCTGAGATATCGTCGGAGATTCCTGGCTGTCTCCGGTTTCCGGTATTCGTGGATTGCCTCGACGCGTGTGGGCAATGATCGCGCTCCTTCACTGGTTACTAAGTACCGGAGAAATTCGATTTCTATTTGACCGAATATACACTTCGCCGGATTGATCACAACACCATACATTCGCAACCGCTCGAAAAATATTTGTAAATGCTCGAGGGGGAGGTGCTCCTCGACGTGATGAGAGTATCGTCGATATACGCGTAAACGAAGTCGAGACAGCGAAGAACCCGAACTAGATCGATGGTGGTAAAGAATTTTCTCCCTTGAAATGTTTGCGCGAAGTCCTGAATATTCCGTACTGGATAGTAATTCAGAACAGTCCGCCCGATAATCGCCGCAAAGTCGCTACTCTTTGCTTTTTTTGAGGCAATGTGCAAGGACGATGACCAACGACTCTTTGAGCAATTTCCGAATTTCACCATCTTCTCGAATTCCTTCTTTGCAGCTACTAAAAATTCCGGGGCGAATCTTCGCGATCGACACACCACCGGCGGTCCTGGTGTCGTCTTAATGTGATGACGCGTATTATGCTTCGTCTCTCTAGGACAGCCTTCCGACCTCGTAAATCTCCGGATATTGCGCCAATAATGCATGGAATGGCGTTACATCCGCGACTGTCTTAACACTGCGCACGTTACATCGCACACAGCGCGCGTCGCAAGGCTTATTTGCTGATCGATGAGTCGATCAGCATTGATGTTCCTTAAATCTACTAAGAATCCATAATACGCGAGAAAATCTACCCCTATAACGGGTTTCGTCACGTCCGCAATCACAAAAAGCCAAACGAACGACCAGCGCAACCCGAGATTTAACATTAATATTTCTGTTCCATACGTGTGAATTATTGTTTCGTTCGCCGCGGAAAGCTCATAAGGTGATCTTTGTCCGCAAGCCATGCTCCGCGGGTACACACCCAAATCTGCACCCGTGTCAATGAGAAAGTTTACCTTGATTCTGATGTCCGTTACAAAGAGGCTACGCGTCGGATGGCCCAAGTCGTCTGTCATCATCAACGATGAGTCGATTAGCATTGATGTTCCTTAAATCTACTAAGAATCCATAATACGCGAGAAAATCTACCCCTATAACGGGTTTCGTCACGTCCGCAATCACAAAAAGCCAAACGAATGGGCCATCGGCAACTTCACCGAGCAGAGTGCTAATATCCGGGCCAGTGGAACCAGCACAGAACGTTTGATAGATGGCCCGGCCCCGCGAATGCGATCTCTGCATGATCTCGGTCACTTCTTGCATCCTACAGCGTCTCAATGGACTTCCAGATAGCCGCTAACCGTTCGATCATCTTTTGCTGTAGCAATTGTGCAATCTGCAAGTCGAATCTAGCCTCAGTCGAGGCAACGCTGTCCTGATTCTCGACTCGCGGTATCGGAAGTCGTATCGTCTTCGCGATCTGAAATGCAGGCGCACAAGTAGCCTCGACGATCTATGTGTAGAGCTATGTCTGCGAGCTGCGAGCTGTTGTGTCTCCGGTTCGCGTTACGAAATGCGGCTGAATGTGACAATGTTTCCGGCAAAGCCTCGAAGGTGTCTAAAAAATTGCGAGGATTTTCGGTCCCCTATTTCCTCGTGCTCCAGAAGTCTGCGAGTTTTAGGTCCGAATTTATAGTCCTTCTCAAATCTGGTCTCCAATATCTGAACTTGAATTTTAATCTTGAATCTTTAAACTTAAATTTCAGTGCTAGTAGCTAATCGTCAAATTCAGTTCTTCGTGACTGTTCGTGACGGCGAGAACCGCGAGAAGTGTGAAAATAAAATAAAAAAGTGGTGAAGTTACAAGATGTAATCAAATGTAATTAATCGAAATCTATTTAGAAAATCCATTTTTTTAAGAAAATGTGAGGTAAAGAATCAAAATATTTACAATATATGAATATTTATAATATATTTATATAATATGTGTAATATTTAAAATATTTATAATACCCTGATAAAAAAATTTTACTGAAATTATTCTACATTTTAGAACATTTCAGCGAAATTACTGAAAATTTGCTGAAATTTCACTGAAAGTGAATTTATCAGCTAATATATTGAAAAATTGTTGAATTAGAACGAAAATTTTTCTAAAATTTTGTTGGAATTTCTTTGAAATATTTATTGAAATTTTGTTGAAAATAAATTTTTCAGCTAAAAATCGTTGAAATTAAGATAAAATTTTTCTAAAATGTTGAAAATTTGTTAAAAAGTGTTCCAAAATATGAAACTTTAGCAAAAAAATTTTCCAGGGAAAATTAAGTAATAATATTTTAGAGTTACATTGGAGCATACTGGAGCATACGACGCGAACAAACTTTTTCTTGCGCAATAATACATAAATCACTCGAGCAAATTGTCGTAAAAAATGCTATATTGAGTAAGACGCAGAGCGCTATACAATTAATATGAATCAATAAAAATGATGCCGACGGCTTTTCCGTCTCTCTATAGCATTGTTCGTTTCTCGGGAACTACGACCCCAGGCAGCGAGACAAAACGAACAATACTTATATATGAACTGAACATATGTGTGATTCTCGACTAGTACAAAAGTCCAATTTTTCAACATATAGCATATAGTATGATCGCCGCTTGCCAACTTTGAACGCATTAAAAATAACTACTCTGATTTGCTTGATGAAGATGTCTTGGCAATGATCTATCCTAATTTAAAAATTTTTGATAATGAGAATTAGATTGAATAGCTTATTTGTATGTCTAAAATATCATTACTTAATCTTCCCTGAAAAATTTTCGCTGAAGTTATTTCACATTTTGGAATACTTTTCAGCAAATTTTCAGCATTTTAGAAAAATTTCACTTTAATTTCAGCGATTTTTGTTGAAAAATACATTTTCAGCAAAATTTCAAAGAAATTTCAATAAATGTTTCAATGAAATTTCAACAAAATTTCAGAGAAATTTCCGTTCAAAATTCAACGGTTTTTCATTATGTTAGCTGATAAATTTACTTTCAGTGAAATTTCAGCAAATTTTCAGCAATTTGCTGTTGAAATGTTTCAAAACGTAAAATAATTTTGAAATTTTTTCAGGATTATTATAAATATTGTATATATTATAAATATTATAAATATATTTTGACAAGTAGCATTTTTCAGCTGATTACTGTTAAATTTTGAGCAGAATTCATCGCGTGGTTTCATTTCTGTAGACGATTAAAGCGAACAATCTTTGTATTTTTTGCAAAATGGGAAAAAAAGAGTTTCGTGCAGTGATCAAACATCTACATATGAAAAGTTTAACGCCGAAAGAAATCAAAGTTGAGTTGGATAATGTTCATAGTATATCTGCACCAGCGTTTGCGACTGTATACAATTGGGTGAATGAATTTAAACGTGGTCGTACATCCACATGCGATGCATCTCGTTGGACGTTAGGATGTCTAATTGAGGCTGCTACGCCACAAATCATCGATAAAGTCCACGGTATTGTTTTGATCGACGAGTGAAAGTGCGCGAGCTTGTTGATATGCCATAGGCATATCACATGGTACAGTGATTTCAATTTTGCACGAACAATTGGGTATGAAAAAGCTATCAGCAAGCCGCGTTTGTTCACTGTGGACCATAAGAGCGACCGTGTGACGATTTCAAAACAATGTTTGGAGATGTTTCAACGTAATCCAGATGAATTTCTGCGTCGATTCATTATTGTGGACGAAATATGGATCCATTATTTCACATCTATGATGAGACGAACAGTCAAAACAATGGATTTCACCGAGTGCTCCGAAGAAGGCGAAGTAAAGTCGGCTGAAAAGGCCACAATTTTTTGGGATGCACGCGGTATAATTCATATCGATTACCTTCCGTTGAAGCAAATGATCAATGGCGATTACTACGCAGCCTTGGATCTTGGGGACGTTTCAACAACATTTTAAAGAAAAAATGTCCCCATTTGGCGAAGAAGAAAGTGCTCTTCCATCAAGACAATGCACGTCCGGCATCGACGGCTAAATTCAATGAATTCCGCTACGAATTGCTTCCAGTATATTCGCCAGATTTAGCCTCCTGTGACTATTTCCTGTTTCCAAACCTGAAAAAATAGAGGAAAGAGATTCACCACCAGAGCAATTCATCGCCGAAACAGAGATTTATCTTGAAGAGTTGGACAAATCATATTATTCGGACGACTTGAAAAAGTTGGAGAATCGTTGGATCAAGTGTATCGAGATGAAAGGAGACTATGTTGAGAAATAAAAATGAACAATCAAAAAAAATGTGTTTTACTATGTTTTTTTAAAAACTTATTGACTTGCACTCGTATAATATTTTATTATAATTCTTTACCTAATACTTTCTTTAAAAAAAGGATTTTCGGCTGATCACATTCTGTAACCTCACCATTGCTCACGTTTTATTTTACTCTCATATTTCTCACTCAGTCACGAAAAACTAAAATTGATGATTAACCACTACCACTGAAATTTAGATTTGGAAATTCGAGATTGAAATCCGATATTAGATATCCGATTCTGATATTGGAGACCAGACTTCAGATTTAAAGAACGACTATGAATTCGGGCCTAAATAAATTTATTTATTAATTTATTCTATACATATATAATAATGTTATTTAAAAAATTAATTAACACTTTTAGAACATTACTTCAATAATAAAAAACATAGTTAAACTGTTTTGCTTGAGAACTATTTTTTCATTTTCTTTATCTCTATTTCTCTTTTTAATTTTATAATTATTTAAAATCAAAGTTTTATATTGTTTTTTTAATTGTCTTTGTAGTATTTATTATTTCTTTCTTACGATGCTGTCTTATTACTTTATATTTGCATTAATTACATATACGTATAGTCAGTTCATCTTTGAAAGAGCCAAGACAGCACAGAATATTTGTAATAAATTCATAAATATTTGTTACTATTTATTTTTTGAAATATTATATAAATATTTTATACATATTTTATATAAAACTTTATTCAAAATGTTATTGAAACATTTTATGGACTAAATATTTTATGTAATATTTAGTTTATAATATTGTATAATATAATATTTATGATAAATATAAATAAATATTTTTAATAAAAATTTTTTTCCAGTAAATAATTTACTTGGATTATAATGTGTTATTAAATATTTTCGTAGCTATTTTATGACTACAAAATTTACGATAAATATTTCATAATATTTATAATAAATAATTATGATCTATGCAATCTAAGACCACAAAAATATTTACAAAATATTTAAAATAAATTTTACAAATATTTAATAAATCTTGTGCGCTGTCTAGGAAAACCAAACAACAAATTCATGTACAGCCATTATCTGAAAAAAATTCTATTAAATAATTGGACAATAATCTTTCTATCTTTCTTCTTTTAATCTTTTAATTCTTAGCGATTTTTATATTTCCTTCTCTTTCATTTTCATTATCATTATTATCTATTATTTATTTATTTATTTGTTTATTATTACATACTTTATCATTATCAGCTTTGAAATAATCATTAACTAATTGAAACTAATGGATACGTTTAGAATAAAATAATTTTACAAAATGTTAATGTTAAAAAATTAATGTGTTTTTTGATAATATTACCAGAAATGTTTCTGAAATTCCTAAGTTTATTTTATTTTGTTCTGTTACGTCCAGATTCCACAGTTCTTTTCTTCGACTAAAATTTTCGTCATTACCATAAGCTCAGTATTTTAAAAATTGTAAATAACAAAAACTCTATTTAATTTTCTACTATTTTAATTTTCTCATTTAATTATTTTGAAATACTTATTAAAAAGATATCTAAGGATGTTTTATACATATTTTCAAAATGACAACAAAATTATGAAAAAAATTACAGATTATTCTAAATTACGTAAAAATAATACGACAAATTTGGTAACGGTTTATTATATGGATTATTAGTTACAATATTTTAATAAATAGTAGTAGTTTTTTAATCTGTGCAAAAATATTTTATTCATAACAACGTTCATACGTATATAGTTTATTTGAAGTATAAATATTAAACAAATTTCCAAATTTAATTTAACTTTTTTTGCAAAGACTGTATGTCTAATACATTCTTAATTGAAACTAAAATTTATAAATTTATTATTATATTTGAAGGATATATTTTACTATCAAAACATAATGATGATATTACAAGTACAACGAATGAAATAATTTGTTATTAAATGGAAAATGTACACATCACTTATTGCTAATATTCGAGCTTCTTTAATTTTTTCTTTTGTTTCAAAATTTTTCCATGTTAAATTTGCTATAGAATCTACATTTTGTTTTAATGATGACTTTTTGGTATTAATGATAACAGTATTACACCTTTTTTGCCAGTTTTCAATCACCATATGAGTACAAACCGTTTCTTTCCTTTTGGCATTATTAAGGGGATCTTAAAGACAATTAGTATTTTGTATCACATTGTAAATATATAGGAGACATGCAGATGATTTACGTGTCATTGACACATCACTATATACTACTACATCAATCTCACATATATACACACATAAATTTTCGTATCAATATTTTAATCAGATATCTAAGTTTAATTTTAAGAACTCTACGTTGTTTCTTATTGACAAAAAGGCAAGAGACAAACAACAAGAAACAGGAAACAAAGAGCACATTGTAGAATTAGCCTTACAGTCTGTGGACTATTATTTGGTAAGTTATTTCACAACTATTGCACAGATATTGCACAGCTTTTATATGAAATAAATGTTGTCACAACGTGATAGTGCTAGCTCTAGAGCGCCATATTTGGATTGACTTTTTTAATTTTTTTCTCACATTCGAGTGTCACACGGGCGATTGTTAATTTACTGTGTCACGATGTCACTCGATTTGACAGGAAAAAAATGTCGCTCTGCCCTATGAATTAAGATATTAAAGTTAGCAACTATTCAGGTTAGAGAAAATCTATATTATAGCCATAACTTTCAATGCAGATGCAATAAATAAGTAACGTAAATGTAAGGCCAATATCGGATTACATATTAAAGATTAAGATTGAAGATTGAAAGATTGAAATTTGACTATGCAATGAATCCATTTGTATTTTTATATTCACACATTTCGTTCAAAAAATAGAAATATTCCTATTCAATTTAGTATATGTACTGCCGAAGTAAGTACATATATGATTCGAAAAATCAGAAGCGCGAATTCGGAAATGTCGAAATGAATTTATTTCTATTTATTTCCATTTATTGGGATAACCAACTGTACTACTTACAGTTGATAGTAAAGAAATGCAAGTGTAATTCGAAAAGTTCTTTCTCTCCAAGGATAATATACCCCAGACAACAAAATGTCCAAAATCGGGATATATAAGACATCTTAAAAATGTCTTTAAGAGATCTTAAAAAATGTCTTTAAGGTATCTTGAAGATGTCTCGGACTTCTCGATAATAAGTATGTTACACAGTCGATAACACGTTCATAGCTGCACATGCTCCAAAAGAAAAATAATTTTCAGAAAGTCTGAAAAACATCTGAAAATTTTAAGACATCTTTTGAATATCTTTTAAATTTGCGTGTTAATTCATATTTGAGGTTTTTATTGATTAACAGAAAATGCGAATCTGCGCAGTCGCCAACACATGCGTATGTGTGACGATTTTAGTTTGCTCCCGCATCACTTCGCGAGGCTGACATTGTCGCTTTACTCACTTTTCACCGATTATTCGAGTTGCATATTTATTACGTCGTCGTGGATTAATCATCTTGAATAATCGACCATAATTGACGAAATTGCATCAGAATTTTCTTCAACTGTAGCAGAAGAATCTCTTTCAATAAAGAATAAAAGGAGCCGAAGTGCTTTCGTGCGAACGCATAATGGAGAGACGAGATTTTAACATCAAAAGTTAACTTTGGTGGTTCTATAGAAACGCGGCAGTCATATGTTTCATGGTGAACATATGATGAAACAGGCATTGCATTCGACTCGCACTTCTACGTTCGACGTACCTGATGGTACTCTGCTCGCGGTGCATATCTCGCCAATTCGCGAATCGACGCAGTGAGTGTATACTCTTAAGGTGTTTTTCATGCTGATATTCCACGCTCATTTTTGTTGTCAAAAGATCACGTGATAAAAATTGACAAATATCAATCATCAATGACTTATTTTGATAAATTCAAAATTAAAACGGTGAAATTTGAATGGTAAACAACTATTACGCATTTTGAGGTCAGCGTGAAATTAATAAACAACAATTCTAGTTTATAATTGTCTCTTAGTCTGACCAACGTATGGAACGTCACAATTTTTACAAGCAATTTTGTAAATAACGTTGCTGTGTGAACTAACTCGGTTTTATCTTTTTGAACTCTTATAAATTTACTTAGTTTATTCAGCGTGCGGAATCCTATTGTTATAGATTTATTAATAAGAGATGTTGACACTTCTGATATATTATACTTTTAACATATGGGATCACCAGAATTTTTTTTTCAGTAAAAATTCTTTGTCTGTATTTTTATGGATATTTAATTTATTAACAAATAAATTCTTTAATCTTTTATTAATAACATTAAATATGAATTCTGTAGTAAAAACCATTCCATTTTACTATCTCTCATCCTATGTTCTACAGCAAAAATATTAAAACATATATATTAATATGCTGCTAGATAACACGGTGCACGGTTGTGTGTCGTTAGAATTCATATTTAATGTTATTAGTAAATGATTAAAGAATTTATTGAATAGACAAAATGAATTCTAAATGATTATAAATCAGAATTCTGATTATTGTGACTGAATTTTTGGCTATCTTGACTAGAATATTTGATAGAATATATAATTATATTGAATAAATTTATTGAATAAACAAAATGTTATTGAATAAACAAAAATGAATTCTGAATGAATATAAATCAGAATTCTCTGGTCACATTATTGTGACTAAATTTCTGGTTATCTTTTATGTATCAGATACCGATACAATTTCCTGTGTTTACGTTCTTAACGTTAGTTTAGTGCATGCAGCGCAATCAGCCTGATTAGTTTATACAAAATTTCAACAACGAATATTTCGAAATAAAATACAGAATAAAAAATGATTATTCTAGACTACTAACTTCCATTTTTTTTCTTGAGATAAAAAACATATAATTTTATTAAATTTTAAATTTTATTAAACGAAATTGTCTCTGTGTGTGTGTGTGTGTGTGCGTGCGTGCGTGCGTGCGTGCGTGTGTGTGCGTGTGGTTGCGTGCGTGTGTGCGCGCGCGCGCGCGCGTGTGTGCGTGTGTGTGTATGTATGTGTGCTTAAATCGTAACTGCCCAAAATTTACTAAAATAAATCAAATATGATAAGAAATCTTTAAAAATAAGTATACAGAGTATTCAATAATCTTAGAAAAAAGAATATAATTATTTTTAAATTCAACAAATAGGAAATAGAAAATGACCATGGTATATAATTATATTCTTTTTCAAGCCAGAATTTAAGCACAATATATTTTTGCACGTTTTTAAAATTTTCTATTAAATTATTGAACATTTAATATTACATTATTTCCTTATGTTCTATTTTTTTTTCTACTGATAAATTCTTTAAGACATGAAAGATATTCTTTCATCTAATCTTTGGAAAAAGTTCAATTCTATTTTTTGTTCTAAATTTGCGTTCATTTTCTCTTATCATAAGAAGTTTTATCTTCATTTTCGGTGCATCTGACGAAGAAGATGGTAATAAAAATATTAGTCAAAGATGGACTGGAAATGACTACCGAAGACTGGGTCATAATTGACGAAACGACTTGTCACATTTATACTATGCTAGACCAACTCATTGAAGGTAAGTAAAAATAACGCCAGTTGTTGATATCAAATCTTATATATGAATGATATACAGTAAGAGCAAAAAGTATTCCTACAAGAAAATTTTTTATAAAAAAAAATCTCAGAAAATAAACATTAATTAGCAATTTTATACAATGAATACATTCTGTTCTAACATAAACAAACGAGCTTCGCATGTATTCCTGATTTTATAAAAGAAAGCAAATTTCTCATCTGTATGAATATTTTTTGAGCATTCAAACAATACCATTTTTAATTTTCGCTTATTTTTTAGATGATATATTTTGTATAATTAATATATATTAGGTGTTGGAATTAATTCGTAGCGTTTTTTAATGAAAGAATGTTATTTATTTCACATGAGCATTAAAAAATACATTAATGAAAGTACTTCCCATCACTTGTAAAACGCTACGAATTAATTCCAACACCTAATATCTTTTTGGTATATATAATTTTAAGAAACATACAGTATATTTTATTCTTTATGAATAAATTATTAATTGTTAATCTTGTACCAACAAGAAATGATCGTCAATTAAATGTCGAATCGACGTTAAATTGATGTTGAAATTATTGTATTTATATTGATTCGACATCAGTTTGATGATTCATTTTTCACTGGATAATATTTATTTTTTTAAAATAAAGTTTTTAAAAAAAATATTTTCTCTGTACGAATACTTTTTGCACTCACTGTATATCATTAGAGTTAAATAAATAACAAAGCTAATACCATTTGAGTTTTTAATTTAATAGAATGTTACTTTTGTAAATTTTAGAAAATATCTTGTAAATATAATTTACGAAAATATCATTATATCTTGACACATTTAATGTAATGTAAATCTAAGATATTTTTTCTTTTTTTACTAACCAACACTCGTGTTAATTCTTACACTTTCTCTTTTAAATCACATGAAATTATTTAATTCAAATGAGATAACGAAGAAGTGACTTCTTTATATATGTAGAATTAAGGTAGCAGAAAGTTGCAAATTGTATAAATATAAAAACAGTCACATATATTTCTCGTGATAGTCGTGATTACAAATATGTTCGCAGTTGAACTCTGTAGACTTTTACAGACTGATGTCGAGCGATCGCTGTATCTCCTCGCACGTTACACGTAAATACAACGCCAGTATGAAAAAAATTAAGAGCTAATAAAGAATACATATGAATTAGTACACGGCAATTAACTATCCTACAATTCGACCATTCTGATAAATCTTTCATCCCAAATGCTTACAATTCTAGTCTACTATCTAAGGTTTCATATATTCGGCGCAGGTACTAGTTACACCTGGACCATCGCCTAATTCGACGCGTTTTTTACATTATACGTATTATTGATGTTTACTTTTTCAATGCGATATGGATTCAAAAACTTAGCGTGCAATTTACAATCCATTTGTGTTCTTTTAATTGCTACTAAATCCCCGCAATTATATTTACGAGGTTCTCGGCGTCAAAGGTTATACGTTCTCTGATTTTCTTTTTGTGTTCGCAGAATTTGATTTTTAACTCTCGCTTTAAATACATCACGGTCTTCTACAAACTACTCGCGAAACGTATCCTCAAGTAAACTTTTTAAGCAAAGGTCTTCTTTGGATTTTATCTTTGTGCCCATTAATAATTCAAAAGGAGTCATATCGATGCTTCTATGATATGTGAAATTCAATATTTCTTGGAATTTAGGCATACACTGATACCATTTAGTTGGATTTTTTAAAGATAGTTTCGTCAATATCGAAATAATGTTACAATTAAATTTGTCAACTTGTCCGTTAGCTCTAAGTAATCCCATCATTATCATTATATGTTTGATGTTTTCCTCCTTACAATAATTATTAAACTTTTTCTTAACTACTATTGGATTGGCATATTCAGAAGAACATGGCTTAATACTGCCATCTTTTAGCCATTCCGCTACTTGCGCTTCTATGATTTTTTTATCCGGTATGGATAATCTACGCGTCTCTGTAAAATTGGCTTGTTATCTTTCAAAGACAAACTTAATTTGATGACCGCTGATTTACGATTATTATAGGCTCGTATGATAAAACTAATCGCTCGACCGTGTCTTTGCATGCAAGATAAGTCCAAAGTCGATTCTAGTTTTCTTCCATCAATATGCGCCATAAACATAGTAAGAATAGTTTTGGTAATGATTACATTATCTTTTTATCAAAAACTTTAATGCGGTCATTTCAAGTATGTCTCTGCCAAGAACAAAGTCTATTTCCATCGCATCGCAAGAAATAACATACAATGTCATAGAATAATTTTCATCATCAATATACACAATTGACAATATCTTAATGTTTCGGATTCACCCTTGCCAAAATCCGTGAACGTTCGCGCGCATCTTACAAACTCTTTTCCTAGTTTCTTAAATACGTTTTCACGAATCAAGCTAACACGATTACCAGTATCAACCAAAGCTAATATTTTAATGTTGTCTATAATAATTTCTTTAAGCGGATCGTAATTTATTTGATTATTTTTTATAAATTTATTGTTGACGATTTCGGATTCTGCGTCTGATTTTTAGGCACTGTACAATTGGTTGCTTCATGACCGAATTTGTTACAATTAAAACATTTTTTTCCTAACGATTTTTTGTCGCAATCTCTAACGTAGGGGGGGGGGAGGGATGTCCGCACGTATTACAATTAAAACATCGTATCTCTACTTTATTATCGTTTGAAGCTGAAAGATGCAAATTGTATAAGTATAAAAAGAAACACATATATTTCTCATGATAGTCGTGATCGAATGGTTTTTTTCGCGAAGACCAGAAGCAAGTCGTGTTAAAATTCTGAAAATTTTACGACTTTGCAACTTTTCACTTTGCAAAATATAAACAGATCGGAAAATCTCATTACATACATTTTAAAATCTGAAACTTTTCCTTTAAAATGAAACCTTAATCATTACTCTATCATGCCTAGAAGGCATATGTGCATCACTGGGAGGTTGCTCGATCGAAATTTGCGTATCGTGTGCGTGTGCGTGTGTGTGTGTGCGTGTGCGTGTGTGCGCGCATCACGACGCGAATGCCGGCAATAATTACCCAAAATCTTGCAAAATAGGGTTTCCTTTGGAACCTAATAACTCTTCTTGGCACACTAGAGTAATCGAGATCTCATTTTAAAGGAAAAGTTTCAGACTTTTAAATGTAATGAGATTTTTCGGCTTGTTTGTACTTTGCCCGTGAAAAGTTACAAAATCATGAAATTTTCAGAATTTTAACACGAACTGCTTCTGGTTTTCGCGAAAAAGACCATTTGATGGATAGATATGGATAAATATCATATGAACTATATAAATTCAAAAAGTAGAAGTTTCACCCTTTAAACTACACCTAGAAAAATTATCCTGCGATCTCTGGCAGCAGAGATACAGTTTCTTACATATCAAGAAAATTTACAGGTTTTAAAGTGATCTTCTAATTGTTGTGCGTAGTGTATAATCTTTTATAATATTTATCTTTAATATAAATGATCGTTTTTTTTTCGGATATAATATTATAAAAAACAAATTTTAAATATCTTTTAAGCAACTTATCGCAGTATGGCATATTTTTACTAATTGTATGTTTTTGTATATATTTCAGATTCTATATAATGGATAACACACACAATTTAACTTACGATAACTTAACATACGATGATACGGTATTTCTAAATTGTGAACTTAATTTATCGTTTATCGCTATAATTAATCAGATACTCTACTCCATCGTTTGTATCGTTGGACTTCTTGGGAATACTTTGGTCATTTATGTTGTTCTACGCTTCGCGAAGATGCAGACTGTCACAAATATGTACATTGTGAACTTGGCGATCGCGGACGAGTGCTTCTTAATCGGTATACCATTTTTAGTAACAACGATCAGTTTACGTGGCTGGATCTTCGGTAATATTATGTGCAAAGTGTATATGATCACGACTAGTATCAATCAGTTTACTAGCAGCATCTTTCTACTCATCATGAGCGCTGATCGCTACATCGCTGTGTGCCACCCGATTTCATCCCCGAAGATGCGCACGCCTTTCATCTCAAAAATAATTTCGATTTCTGCCTGGGTCACTAGCGCTCTCTTCATGATACCGATATTTCTTTATGCAAATACTATGGAATACACAAATGGCGTTGTCAGTTGTAATATTTATTGGCCTAACGATCACGGTGGTCATACTACTTTTACGTTTTACATGCTTATCTTCAGCTTCATCATTCCCTTAATATTTATACTGGTTTTCTACTTATTGGTAATAAAAAAACTGCGAACAGTGGGTCCAAAGAACAAATCAAAAGAGAAGAAACGATCACATCGAAAGGTCTCCAGGCTGGTCTTAACAGTTATTGTTGTATATGTCTTCTGTTGGTTACCTTATTGGGTCACCCAAGTGGCCTTGATATATACCCCGCCAAAACAATGTCAAACCAATATTAGTATTGCAAGTTTTCTTCTAGCTGGTTTCCTGAGTTATAGCAATAGCGCTATGAATCCGATTCTATATGCTTTTTTAAGTGACAATTTTAAAAAGAGTTTTCTGAAGGCATGTAATTGTGCTGCTGGAAAGGACATTAATGCGACACTGAACAATGAAAATAGCGTGTTCCCAAGAAGGAAAATTAATGATGATAGATTACAACATGATCAAATAATAGCAGCTGGATCATCTAGAATGGATTTTGACGATGAGGAGACGGACAGAGGACTGCTTAGCAAGACCTCCACTACCACAGTGACAATGACATCGAGATCAAACATCGAGATCACAGTAAGCAACGATTACAAGGATTCAGCACAAAGGAATAAAGATTTAAATAAGAATGGTGCACAATTAACTCTATTGACGCAGGTTTGAGCGCGATATATCAATACAGCAGACTCTCTAGGGTGAGAACTTATTGCGAATTGTAAACACAAAATCCAACAAGTCCTCCAGCAAATCTATTAATAATAGTGATCTGAAAATTTTGTGCGAAAATGTGAAGTATAAATTTTAGTGCTTTAGCTAAATACTAATTAATATAGGAAGAGGAGTTACGCTTCTACGGGAATTGAATTCTAAATGTCATTCGTTAATCGTAGTATAGTAAAGGAGAAGGCAATATTATGGCCAGTGTATACATATATTGTGGTGTCCCTTAATATTTCCACTGTTATATAACAAATCCTAATGGTCACTTATGGAATTATTTGTTCAATAGTTCGCTGTTACACCATGACGCAATATACCAATACTCAAGCCAGCACTTATTATAACACATTTTTATTTTCAAGTATTTCGTAATGTGGCCTTCTATGGATTGATTATTCACGACTTCTTTTTTTGAGATTTTTACATTAATAATTATTTGATAATCGATTGTAGCTCTACTGTTAATCTATAAATGCTTAATCTGTAGTTTATATTACGTATACTATTTTTAATACTGAGATTTTTAATATTGAGCAGCTTATATACAGAAGCTATGTGAATGTATATACATTCATTTGCATACATTTAAACCTTTCTTATTTTTTGCTAATTTTGTAACCAAATGTTTTCTAAACAAAATTAATATTTTAATACTATTTTTCTGGAATCATATTACCATTTTTTACCCATTTACCAATCAATTTTAAACTTAAATATTGATTATTAACCAAGTTATTGTGTAAAATGTAACTGGGGTGCTATAATACCATCTTCTCCTCTACCTATAGTATAAGCTTATAATATAGTAGTCTTAAATATTATTAATAAGCGTTATAAAAAAATATAATTACATGAGATAATAAAAATATAAGAAATACAATTAAAATAAAAATAAAAATAAAGAAATAAAAAGATAAAAACAGAAACAAAATATAAATGTAATATTAATTAATTATTGAAATAAAATAAAATGTGAATAAAATACTATTTAATTAACATTGCGCAGGAAACTAATATAAAATTGTGTCGATCAACGAAATTTATTTCTGAATATCTATCCAAGTAGAATCTATGCCAATCTTTAAGTAACTAAATTGTGAGAGGCAAGGGGATTCACATTAATCAAGCACCCCAAAAGGAACAGAAAACTACTACGTCAACGCTTTTGTTTCTGGGTAGCGCTAAAAGTACTCCCAGATAGCTAAAGATGCGCACGAAACGAGATAAATCTCGATCTCGTCTCAATCTCGTCTCACAATATTTGGCGTATTTGGTATAATTGGCGCGCCAACTATGTTGATAATGAAATTGCATCACTCGTTCCGGAGGTTCCGATTCTCATCAAGGGCACGCAGCAGTGATCTCTCGTAAAGATATAGCGCTTCGTGATTTTGAAGTTTACGGGATTTTTGGAGTGTCTTTGAGTGTTGATGGAATTATATACCACGGCACTCTAATAAAAATAATAATAAAAGCGTGAAACCGCAGAGAGAATTGTATATGAATAATATGCTTTCCGTGCGGCCACTCGTAGTCGTCTACGGCAGGTTTACGTTTGACAAAATGTTCGGATCATTGTTGATCTGAAACACATTCGTGACAATCGTTCCATCAATTTCACATTTAACTTGGAGAATTATCTAAGAATATTTATAGTTAAACAATCGCATAGGTTCGTAAAAAATGCATCAAAATTAAATGATTTAATAAAGCTTTTGAAAGCTTTTGTAAGAGCTTTTGTAAGCTCCGTGCTTTACAATTACGTGATAAATTTATCGCGGTAAAATTCTGTATAAATCAAATTTATCGATATAATAAATGTGCGAGAATCACTCATGATGCATACGCATGTATCAGGAGTAATCGAAGTAATGGTCGCGCCGACTATGTTGATAATGAAATTGCATCTCTCGTCCGTTTCCGGGAGTTGCGATTCTCATCAAAGGCACGCAGCAGTAATCATTTGTAAAGATGCGTCGCATCATAAAAATATGCTGTCTCCGGTATGATCTATACGTTATAACATAAAGTAATGATTATGATTTAGGATTGAAATTTTCTCATGTATATACTCCAATGCATATTGGTAGTGTACTCCGCGCAATGTCGACAGCATCTCTCGCCTATTCTGTGGATTTTTATTCTCATTTAATGCACGCAACAGCGACCTTTCGTATAGATGCATTTATATGATGTACTGCATCATATAGATACACTGTCTTCGGCACTACCTACACGTTATACGTTATAATATAAATTATGCTTTGGGATTGGAGGTGATTTCAGCGGAAAGATCTATTAACATTACGTTTTATACTAAAATCGTATGTTATAGTGCAATTAAAACGCGGAACGCACACTCAATTACTCATTATCAGGATATAATATTTCTTCAGTAATATCTTGGGATATGCAACTTTTGCAAATATCTTTTCAACTATAATATATTGAAATATATTTCCATTGTGTGCAAATTCAATTGTGCACCGAAGTTCTGAAGATAATAATCTTGGGCAAGCGCTTTCTTTGCGATGGTGGATACTGCAAACCTATTTCGACATGAGACAGCGAAGATGTTGATCTTAAAAGTATTTCAGGATGTAACATTTCAATAATATCTTGAAGGTATTGAGTGGCGAAGGTTCTGATATTTTAATTATGATAAGAACTAACAGTTTCTATAATGTCTTGAGAGTCTTGAGATTCTAACATAATTTGTAATATAGTTTCTATAGTTACAAAAAATCGCCTGTGGATTAACGTGCAATTTTTAAAAGTGGGATTAATCCTTATATAGTACTTTCTCCTCGATGATGTGTAACGGATTACGAAAATGCAGTTTGGCCATGGTTGATATTGAAGTTGTATCAGAGAGTAAGGTATTTCAATAATATCTTGGAGGTATATTTTTGGGTGATTATTAGTATATAGTATGGGTAATTAATATTAGATTTTAATTTTCACTCATTCTGACACGAGAACCTTCTTCGTGAATTTTCAGCAATCCGTAAGGTCTTGATGAATCTCCGTCAGAAATGTGTAATTTATTATAAGCAATTTGATATATATAGTTTTTATTTTTAAGTTTCGTTAGGAGATTTCCTTTTACTAATTACAGAACACATTCAATGCTAGAAATATACTGGCGGTATACAGTTTCGATACTGACCACGACATACTGGTTTTGGCAATCTCAGTATAGACGCGATATCGAAAATTTACTGGCAGTGTACTGGATCTGTATTACTATTCAATACTGATTCATATATTGTCTGTACTGTATCATTAGTTTTATGATATTAGTCCAGTACTGAAATAAAAAACTCATTTATCAGTACTGATTCGGTACCTTACTAGGATACAATACCGTTTTTCTATAAATTTCCACTTGGAAAACGAATTAACAATATATAAATGTAAATATTTTATTCAAATTTGATATTAAAGAAAGACATCAATTTTAAAATATTTTACAAAAAAAAAACAATACCAAAGATAATGGAAGAAATCATATATAATATATATTTATTGATCATAAGTTCATCGTACGTAATCAAATGTACGTGATCATATGTACGTTGACATAAAATTTCTGAAAGTGACATTCATTTGTGTCTTGCACTTTCTTCGCAACGATGGGTAACGGGAATGCATTTTGGTGTGGTATTAAAGATATCGAAGATATGATGCTGGGGGTTGTGTCAACGGATAACGATTTTTCAATTGTTTTGGTGAACGAAATCTATTTACATGCTTGTATTGCTGAATTTCGCATTTTGATCGCTATAAGGTCCGTATTAAGATGCAACGTATTGTGTTTTTGAAATTTTTGGGGTTTTTAGAGTGTATGTCTTTCGGTTGTTGATGGCATTATATATTACGGCATCCTAATAAAAAAAATAATAAGAGTGTTAAAGCGCGGAGACAATGGTATGGGAATAGTGTACTTGCCGTGCGGCCACCCGTGGTCGTCTACGGCAAGTTACGTTTGACAAAATGTTCGGATCGTTGTAGATCGAAAATACATTCATGCAATCGTTTCACATAAAGACACAATCGTTTAATCAGTTTCACATAAAAACGCGAAAGTCAAAGACGGGACATATTCTGATCCCGATAAAAAAATATATATCCGATGTTATATAATTTATGTTAATGCTAAATCATCGAGAAAATGTGAAAGAAAGCTAAGCTTTATATCACATTTAACTTGGAGAATTATTTGAGAATATTTGTTGTTTGTAGAGTTATTATATCTATAAAGTCTATACAATTACAGTCATTTTCAATGCAATCTTACAATAATATAAATATCGTTCTAAATTAAAAATTCGTACATAATCTTACAATATTCTTACAATTCCTTAACAAAAAATTTCTTCTTTCTGTGTAATACGCTGTGAGTCATTTTTATCAAGAATTAACAAAGTCATAAGAAAGTTCTGGAAAAGTAACCGTAAACAAAAAGAATTAATATTAATCACATAAAAATTAAAAATATGATAATATATAGTAAATCTGTTAAGAGTCCAATAATACACAACGAGAAAAAAATGTAAAATGTGGTCCATTTCGTGGTACAATAAAAAAGTCTTTTTAATTTAATAAGTTATTATAAGCAAATTCGCAAAGGTAACGAGCATCTGACTTAAACGATGTCACAAAACGAAATGTCAAGCAGAAAAAACATTATCGAGAACGGAAAACGGAAAAATAGGAGGAAAAGGATAGAAGATATTAGAAAGGAGAAAGAGAATGTATAATGTCAGAATACAAATCCGGCAAAGACTCCGTGTCATTTTGTCTATTAATCCCATGCTTCTGTTTTTTAATATGGACCATTTCAGATATCAACCTTTTGTTGTATGAAGGCTCTATATCTAATATTTCTACTTTATCCTATTTAAAGTTATAATTCTCCACCATACGATGGTTGGAAATCACTGATGGAGATTTTGAACTAATATTGATATCAGAAACATGTTCATGCAATCTGGTCTTTAATTGTCTTTTAGTTTGGCCAACGTAACTGGCATCACAATCCTCACAAGATATTCTGTAAACCACATTTTGATTCTGAACGTGTTCCAAATCATCCTTTCCTCTCCCTATGAAACTTCTCAATGTGATAGGAATAGTAAAAGCCAATTTACAATTAAACAATAGGTATAAATCTTTCGGATATCGTATTAACATATGGAATCGTAAAAAACCTCTTCCCAGTGTCATCCTTATTCTTATTCAAATTATTAAACTTATTAATGTGATATTTTATTCTATTATGAATAGTCGAAAAAATATAAAAATATAAATAACGGATACCCATTCTGTAAAAAAATCTTAATAGCGTCAATCAAATTATTTTGTTGGAATTTCGGATGACACAAACAAAATATCTTATCCACGACTCCATAAATCACACCTCTTTTATGACAAAGTGGGTGGTGTGAATGGAAATTAAGAAATCTGCCGGAAAAGGTTGCTTTACAGTATATATCAAAAATGAGATTCCATTCATCGATAATCAACATCGTATCTAAAAAACTTATTTTTCCACCTATCTCCATGGTGAACTGCAATCTAGTATGTAACGAATTAAAAATATCTAAAATATCATAAACACTCTCAGAAGGAGCGGCTAAGATAATATCTGAATTTTAAAAATCGAATTATGCAACTTGTAGCCATATCTTTAGTCGTAATTAATTGTGATCCAAGCGTATTCTCGTTTTAATTATTCAGCTAACTATATAAAAATATTGGAACGAATTAACAATATATAAATGGTAAATATATTATTCAAATTTGATGTAAAAAAAAAATATATTTTACAAAAAAAAAATACCAAAGATAATGTAAGAGTCATATATAATATGTACTTCAACATTTACTTCAAATAAAATACTTTTTATATCTCGTTTAGTGCTATGGTTATGATCCCGGAAATAGCGAGACTCTGACGGCCCTTAAAGCTTCCCTTAATAGAAAGATATCCAATGGTCAAATTCACTAGGAATACATCGGTATCTCCCAGCCATGGTTTCTTGCGATAGTTAGCTTCTGATCGCATTAATGTCGATCGTTGCTTTGGCGCTTTCATTTGAACAAGTTCCATGCTGCTACCAAACAGCAGCAACAGGAGCGCTCGTAATCTGTGTCGTTCGTGGTGCTGTTACTGCTGCTGCTACTGCAATTGTTGCTGTTGTTGTTGTTCGAGCGGCTGGAGCGGGGCGGAGTGCATGGTCGCCCCCGTCTCCGGTCAGCGCCTCTTCCCGCTCACCTGAAAAATTCAAGGAATACGTTAAGAAAGTGCATACTCAGAGAGTTGATGATTGAATGAAACGGTTAAAAGAATCGTGAAAAATATTTAGAAAAATATTTAGATGAAAAATATTTAGAAAAATATTTAAATATTTAGATCAGTCTACGAATAATTCTATATATCTATATTAATATGTTTTTTGAATATAAAGATATCAAATAGAAAAAATAATTAAAAATTTTGATAGGGAGAGGATCTTGGTGTCCTCGTTGCGCTATATGGAGCGCTATTTTCTCCTTGTTTGAGATCTGTGTCTCGTGCCCTGTGGCCACACCCGAAATAATTCAGCAGTGCGCAATAAAAAGGCAATTACGCTATATAAATGATTCAATGCCTCTATTTATTCTTTCTTGAATTGTTACACTCGCGTCTTTTATGAATAAATATACAGTCTTTTATGATTAAATAATAAAACTTGTGCACCATCGTGCACGTGTTAATCTCGAGGAGAATCGCACACGGAATCCTTCTAGAAACCCTCTGAGAAGCGTGGCGGTTACACGCAGGCAGCATAGTCGCGCGCATGCCCTCTCATGCCGGTGGGCCTCATCAGCGACACGACACGTCGCTAACATGCCGCGATCACGCAGCAAAGCCAACGGGCTGTTATCAAGCCTGTTGAGCCACACACACAATGATAAGCGCCAACAGATAGAATTTGACAGCTATTGCAAAAATTTGTTGTATGTATTGTTACCAAACCCTTGAAAATTTGGACAAGGAGACAATGAAGGAGAATGAAGAGGATATGGAAGGACGATTAGACTCAATCTCACAGGTATACGCGCGGAGGCGAACATCTGTGAATCGTACGCACCTTTTTAGTCCCGGAATGTGGGTCAACGTCCGAAGGGACGCTGATACCTGTTCCGCTGGACAGTGCGAACGTCGATCCTACTATTTGGGTCAAGGAACTTAATCCCTTTGACCCGGGACTGGACCTCCTGCGATCTCAGGTATTCGAGGGAAGTGAATGCGAGAGATGATTTTGACAGGGAAATACTTTATGTTTATTAACAATAAAAAGAAAATAGAAAAATGTTATATATAATAAACTTCTTCCATCCCTTTTTCATTATATAAAAATATAATTAACACCTTATGGGTGTGTGTGTGTGTGTGTATTGGTGTATGCGTGTGTAGAGGAGAAAGAGTTAGCGAGTATGGGCGGCGAGAAAAGTTGCAGGAGCACATGAGGTGCTTATAAAAGACGGTGTAAGATGCAGGATTTCCGGGGATATACACGGTAATTAGTCTGTCCCCTTCGTAGGAGAGGGACGTAAAAAACCGGAACATTCGATCCCAATCGATCAACTCGGGATTCAGTTGAAATGGGAGGGGCGGGAGTTGATCCAAAGGAGGAAGAGGGAGTGGGAATCCTTCTTTATGAGGAGGAGGAGGAGGGAATCGTTCCTCGAGATTAGGAGGGGAATAACCGAGGATTTCTCGGATGGCGTGGTCGACAGGAGGAGAGGTGAGATCTAAGGTTGTGTCTGTAATGTTAGTGAGTAAGAGATCTCGCTAAATTGCTCATCGGTCGGTTGAGGCGGCGCGATTGTGAGTGGCCCAAGGGGACGGTTCCGCCTACTCCTCCGGACATAGGAAGTTCTTCCGCGTTTTCGAATGGTACGTACTACAAACCGAAAGGTTAAAATGACGTGCATCTATATTCTTGGAAACGGACGCAAGTGTATATAGGTACAGATATATGTGTTCATGCGGAGAAAACGAGGGGATCGACTGGAAGGAATAGCGACTTACTGTTAGTTGCCCAAGATATCGGGTAGGTTCCGGTGGGTGACTCGTGGAAGGAGATCCGTCGTCTGCGGAGAGCGTCAGAAGAACAGTCGCAGTGGCGTACGCCTAATGATTCAGTGCCGATTTGCCCAGAACTTCGCATTCGTATGGAACCGCGAATTGGCGTGATTAGCGCGAGTTTGAGTAATTCCCGCACTTCCCGCAATAATAGGTCAACTCGTAGACTGCACTCGTGAACTGACGCGAACCAAGTTAGCTTGATCTTTTTACTGACGCTCTGCGCTTCCGCGGGACCTCTATTTATACCCCGAAAAAAGAGCGTTGTGCCCTTTGTCTAGGATGCAAAAGTTAGTTGTAATGTCACGCGAGATTTACGATTTTTATAACGTTTTATCGTTGTTGATCTAGAGTACATCGTTAGAGTAGTTTCGAGAAGACAAGAAGTGATTTACGATTTTTCTTAAAGATCCAAGATTGCTCCGAGACGGATGACGAATTCTTATTCTCGCGGAAAATACGGCTAAGTAAACAGATGATTACCGTGCACAAATAGGTTTGCGTGCAGGGCTACCATTGTCAGTTGCGAGTCTGGTTTCAGATAACGCTCCTGTTGGAAGTTATTCTGCGTTTACGATTTTTTTAAGTGCAACGTGGCGCCTGTTTTCTAAGATGAAATTGTTAGTCAGTCTCGGATGACAAAGCCTAGATTTTTACTATTACGTGACTTCATTTATAATGTCTTTTGCAATCTTATCTCTTTTCGGGCCTACATTAAGGTTGTTATTCTTTCCGGGTTCATTGGCATTTACGAGTTTTCGCGGAGCCTGTCCGGTCCCTCTTTTCAATTCTGTCAGACTATCAGAAGGCTCTGCTCGAGTCTCGCAGGCGCCAACCATAGTCGCGAAGTGGAGCCAAAAAAAAAAAATCGTGGCGTCTGTAGGACGTAACAGTATCTATCTATAAAAATATATCTCGATGTGTCTGAATTATTAATTTCGGAGCAGTTGAATCTGTTGAATGTATCTATATCCATTCATACACTGAATGCATAATGAATGATACAATTTCCATAGTCACAATCATAAGCACGAAACCGGACGTGCTTGATTACTATTGCGGTAGTGACAATAAAACGCATCTTCCTGCTTGACTGTATTTATCGCGAGATTGCATTTATTCGCATAAATCATCGTACCATCTTAATTAATAATAAGTCTTTTATAATAATATTTTGCTACGCGATGCATATACTAAACTGATTTACGTACATACATTTTTTTAAGATGTGGTTTTATTTCGTTCTCGCTTATGCGTTGATAAATGCATTCCTCCTTCCTAAACCAAGTTATATCGCGTTTGTTATAGAATGTAACAATCTATACTAATAATATAAGAATTTTTAATATATTTATTGTTGTTACACAACAGCCTTTCATGAAAATGCTAATAGTCCAGAAAAATTAGATATTTTGAAGGCAAAATTAAACAAATTTTTTATGGCAATTTGCGGGAAGTTGTTCAAAATGATTATTATATGATATATTATATATATGATATACTTGTCTCGTAATTATCAAGATTTCATATTTAAAAATATTATTTACGACTTAAATTATTTAACATTAACAAGATTATTGAACTATATATGAAAATTCGGTTTATCCGTTGACTCGTTTATCATCGTTATAGTTCGAAACTCGGTTAGGAAAAATGTAATTTGGCATATCGAAAGGTAGAGAGACAGACAGTCATCGAATGCGATACATAAAACTGCTGGTCTGCGGCTGAAATTCGGAGTTTTTCATTCAAATTGTATAAAAATAAGTATACAGGCCTTTTTTGAGTTGCATAAACTATAATTTAGAGAATATGCGTATTTTACTTTCTCTCAGCGTGACCCAGAATTAACGTGGGGAGAAACTAGTTTCATTTTTTGTATTCTTTTAATTTTTCACAAATATTTCATTTATTTTTTTTTGTATTTTTTAAGGAATTTTTTGTTTTTTATTTTTTGAAATTTTTTTTTGAAAAAATAACAAATGACTGAAAAAAATGTTATTTCTACAACTTAGTTGTTTTACTTGTAAGCGCGCCAGCTCCTATACTGCTAATATGATACTCTTCACTGCTGGTCACTTAGCGGTCAAGGAAGTAACTATATTCTAAAATATGCTGCAAGCTCTTAAAAATATGCAAATACATGATACATATGTGTAAATAATTATAATAAATAATAAATAATAAATAGACTTATAAAAGATCAATTATCCAAAACTTCAAAAATTTTTTTTGGAAAAACTAGCAAGCATAAAATTCTGAAAAATATATATATTACAGTTTCAGATATGGAGTACACGCATAAAAATTTTTAGAGCTGTAGCACTTAACGTTTAAGAATAGCCGAATTTATTCTAACGAGTTTTTTTATATTAATTGTTTATAACAAAATTGCAAATAAATAAATTAACATAATTTTTCATAAAAATTGTATAACTTAGAGCCCTAAGAGTCTAATATGCGCACACAAATTGCAAAATAGATCAGAAATATGGAAAAGACTAAGATCAAAAAGGTGGGACGTATATGTGCCCCTCAAAGGGTTAAATTTTACTGTGTTGTAATTAGTCTACAAGGTCATTTTAACTATAAGATTGATACACTAATTATGCAACATGATTTAATGTGTAAATATTTCGTTCTGTTATGTAATTGTTCATCTTTATATTATAATTTACATATATCAATTGGATATCATTATCTACTTTTAAATTTATTGACAACTTTTCACATCACTGTATATTGATAAGATTTCCCTATGTTTGTGAATTTTGCGATCTTTAATATGGGGAAAACGACAAATTTAAGGTCAAAACATTTACTTATATTTGTTTCAAGTAATAAACTTGATTAACACACAAGCATCCAATATATGATCTTTATAGACATTATACTTTATTTTATACATTTTGGAAAATAGGAAATAATTAGTTAGTTAAATTCTGCGGCGATACTCTGTATGTAGATTAAGTATTGTCATATTGTAAATCATTCATACGTCACGATCAATGAAGTATCTACCTCAATGAAGTATCTATTTACCTATGATAAGAAGGACTCTCTAATAAGAATCTGTATACGAGCTGCAGTTTTGTACGTAGGGTAGTTTTAATGAAATCAGCGAGAGAGGAGGACATATATTTATTATTTCTTTTTTTTTTCTTATTTTGTTCTATTTTTTTTAACTATTTCTTTTCCTTTTTCTTTGTGTCAGGAATTGTTAAAAAACGGTAGACTAATCAAAAGTGATTTCCTCATGTCCAGACTCTAATTAGAGGGTTTCTATAGTACTTGCCAAACAAACCTGCGAGTTGTGCTTACATACTGATAACAATTAGAATAAAATCAGCATGTATGACACAGGACTCGAATTAAGATGATTTTTTTTCTGTATGCGTAACTTCATCATAAAAACTATCAGTAAATGTTGAAAATAATGAACCAGAAAGTCATTACTTTCTGTAAACAGGAGGATGAGATGAATTTGGTGTCCTATTTATAAATCTTATTTTATGTCAATAACTTTTTAACGAATGACAAACACGGGCTAAAATCTTCCGAAGATAATTTAGGGCCATGACTTTGACAATATAAAAGTCATCGGATATGGGTTCGTTATTTCCAATTTACCAAACTTTCGTGTTGTTACATTATTTAAGCAACTTCGTATTTAAGATGTATAATAAATTAGATCAATGTTTATATTTGATAATGATTTATTAAAGGGAAATAGTAGACTAAAAACTTAAAAAATGAATTTTTGATTTTATGTATTACCTTAAATATCTAAACTGTGTAAATTAAATTTTTTCAAATTCAATATAAATTAACATAGCTAATTTCATATTTTCTCAGATTTTGCTGTGAAAAATGCCAATATGTGGCTCAACCAGTTAAGCGCTAGAGTGTTAAAATATTGTTTCAAAATAAAATTTTTTTTCTTTTTGAGGACAAATCCGAGAAATTTGAATTAGAAACAGTTGAATAAAAGGACTTATTGTTTAATCATTTTTGAGATATTTACATTTGAAACTTTAAATACTTTTCTTGAAACAGTGTTTTTGAAAATCGGTAGTCAATATTTCGAACACTGTTTAATCGATCTAGTTAAAATGTTTACAGTAAGTATGTTCTTTACTATTTCATCTTTTCTTCTACGTAGAATTTTTTAAATAAAAATGTCTAGTTTTGTTTAACAAAAATTCTCAAATTTTAGAAAAAAATCTTTGCTTTAAACAACTTATTTTCTTAAAAATTCATAAGTTAAGATAGCCTTAGTAATAATGACCAGACTGGGGTGTGGGAAAAATGCCTAGCACCATTTTTTGACTTTTATCATGTGGGACGGAATGGGAGGGACATATTTAATACCTTTCTGGTCTGCATCCGCGGATGAATCTCGGGAGACCTTCAGTCTTCCTTTGAGGTTGATGAGTCGGATTCGAGCGGGTGACTCGAGCCTCGACTCAACCCTCCGAAATAAATCCAGAGTATCGATCATGTAACTTTTTCTCTGGAGTGAAAACGTAAAAAATGAAAATTTTTTGTATATATGTGTGTATATATATTAGGTGTTGGAATTAATTCGTAGCGTTTTTTAATGAAAGAATGTTATTTATTTCACATGAGCATTAAAAAATACATTAATGAAAGTACTTCCCATCACTTGTAAAACGCTACGAATTAATTCCAACACCTAATACATACATACATGTATATAAATTTTCATTTTTCACGTTTCCCCTCTAAGGAAAAAGTTATATGATCAATATCCAGGAGAACGTGGAGAGAGGAGGTTGTGCTCCTTTCTCTCTACAGCTAGCATTGCATAGTAATTCCTAGACAGCACACAATACCTAGATAACATTTTAAACGTCTTTTAGATATATTATGCAACATAAATGTTATCTAAGTATTTATGAAATATTTACAAAATATTTATAAATTTTTCTAAGACTTATTTTAAATATTTATTTATTCATTTTAAATCTTGTAGTAATTGCTATGGAAATAATATTTTTAAAAAAATAAATAATAATAAATTTATCATGAATTCTGTGCTGTCTGGAAAGAGCACGGGGGAGTTTTTAGTGAGTATGAATCTCACATACCTCTCAACCTTTCTCCGGAGATTGGGAGGACCTATGAAGGTTTTCTCCTCCTTAAAAAAAAAAAAAAAAAAAAATGTTCCATCTAATCTGTTAAAGGCATTTATTGACTATTGCGCTAACTTGCGCGATAAGTGTTAATGTCTCATTCATAAAGTAAGAGAGGAGGAGACCGATCACGGTTGGGCGCGAATACAGAAAAGTAACTCTCATTTGTGTGCTGAATCGACAGAAAGTCCGCTTAAAGGAATAGCGAATTCGGGTGCCATTATCAATCTTATATGAAAATGTCATCGACGTATATTACTATGCATAGCAAAGTTCTCATCGGATTCATCGCTCACCGCATCCAGTGTGCAATTAGGCATTAGGCATGAAAAACAGTAATCTAAATCGGATGAGTTTTTTAATTCATTAATTGATCAATCACATAAAGCGCAAATGCATCAAGAGTTCTTTTATCGATTAAATACATCTATGTGTTTTTATTTATAGCATCCTGAAATTATCGCATCCATCAAATTCATTGACTAATTTAGTTTTCTGATTAAACATAGTGGGATATTTTGTTTAAAATATTAATTATGATTATTGATTAATATTGTGTTTTATGGACACTATACTATGAAAATATTACAATATTATAATATAATTTTAAAAAATGTTCAAAGATGTATCTTTTCTTCTGATTCTTTAATTTTCTGATTTCTTTAATTTTCTTCTCTCTGTTG